AGGGGGTGAGGGGCCGTGGTGCTGATGCCGGGGGGTGTGTGTGGAACGCGGTGCTGAGGTGGGGAGGGGTCACGGAGCTGAAGCACGGTGTCGAGGGGGGAGGGGTCACGGAGCTGAAGGGGGGGGGAGGTCCCAATGGCGGGGGGGGGTTGGGGGGGGGGGGGGCGGGGGGAAGCATAGTGCTGAGGGGAGGGGTTTGCGGTGCCAAATGAGGAGGGGTCGCGGTTTCTCTGTCTTTCCCTGTGAGCTGCTGCAATCTCGGTTCTGACCACAGGACACATCCCCTCCCCCCTACCCCCTGCCCCCTGCCCCCTGCCCCCTGCCCCCTGCCCTCACCAATGCCCCACCCCCCTCCCCACTCATCCCCAAGGCACACTGTTTCACTCCTGCTCCTCCCCTGAATCCCAGGAAGCCCTGTTCTGGGGCTGAACCACTCGAGCAGGATGTGCCCCAGCTCTGGCATTGCTTGCTATCCCACCTTGCTACGCCTGTTCTGCACCACCCTACCCTGACCCTCCCCAGTCCTGCACCGGCCTCTGCCTTTATCATGACTTGAGGGTCAGCTTCAGGAAACTGGCTGTTCGACACAGAAAGGCGTCACAGATGGTGAGTTCTTACCAGGGGTCTACGTGCTCCCTAATTGCCCCGACCTACCTGATCTTGAGGGTGGGGGGCGCGAGAAGAGGGGAGTGCCTTGACAAAAACCAGCCTACACATCCCAACACCACCCCTTTTCCTCATTCTCCAGGGCTCCTGATCCTCCTGTTGCTAATGGAGTGACATTGCCGACACGTGGGGGAACAGCCCAGAGACCAAGGGGTCTGTCCTGCTCTCGGACTGTGCTCCAGCCTAGCTCCCATGTCTCAGAGATGCTCCCTACCTTGTAACCTCACTGTTGATCCCCAGCTCACCACGAGAGCTACCGAAGAGGAGACTAAGTGTAGCCTACACACACTCACAGCAGGTTGTGGGGGGGCTGCAGGGGTCCCTCCAGGCACTTGTCCAAGGGGAGGGGGCTCCCTCCAAGCACTGCTCCAAGGGGTGGGGTCCCGGGTCTGCAGCCCATCCGTCAGAGACACTTTCAGGAGTAGCCCACTCCAGACCCCTCACCCTCAGCTTCCTGCCCCCAGCTTCAGGGAGTCACGTCTCTCCTGCCCCGACGTTCCATGCCCACCCTCCACTCTTCACCTCCCACCTCCCACCTCCTCCTCCCCCTACGTCAGCAGGAATTTGAAGAATCGGAGAAAGTTTTGGGTAAATGTGACGAATAGGAATTTCACCGGTAACCCGTAGCAACAAGCCTGTGACACAGGCAGCTGGGGAGGTGGGGAGGGAGCCAATCAGTATGCAGCAGTGTTCCCACTGAAACAGGAAGTGATCAGTGCGAGTGAGGCGGGGGTGGGACGTGACTCTGTCAGCACTGCTGTCGTGTGACAACCATTACCCCTGCTCCCCGCCCACAAACTCTAAATTCATCCTGGTGATACTGGTTCAGGGAAAGCACTGCGTACCTCATGTGGCTGACTCATTCAGTGAACACTGAGCTGTTCTATTCCAGGCACCAACAGTGTCAGCAACTCCCAGCCACATAAACAGCAAACCAGGCCAGCTCACTGCCCTTTCTCAGCTACTTCCCCAGCCCCACTCTCCCTCTGCTCTCTACCCACCTCCCCCAAGACCCCTGCAGAAAATTCTCCTTTACAAATACTCGCCATGTCTCCCCTTCCTGTTAAATCCGCTTCCTTTCGAGTAGGAAGCTTTCCAGACCACAACAGCTTGCTGCGTCAAAAAAAAATTCCCCCTCAAAGGATTTAGGAGGACAACATGTGGCCTTTCGAGCCTCATCTTCATACCACTCCCCCACCCGCCAATTCTCGTCACTGGCCCTCCTTCCACTGGAAACAGTTTGTCCTCATTCACTCCATCAAACGCCCTGGTGATACTGAATGCCTCCATTCAATGTCCACTAAACCTGCTCAGCTCCCAGAGACCACCAGCTGGGCTTCGCCAGTCTCTGTGAGTCCCTCATCCCTGGTCCTATTCTGGTCATTCTCTCCTGCCCTCCGGCTCTCCTTCTTCAAGTGTGGAGCCCAGAATACAGTATCGTAGAGGGTTTAGTAATCATGAGTTTTGAATCAAATCACTTCTTATTACTATCAGTCAGTAAAAAGTTACCTTTACCTGGCACCTATCACACCAAAAGGCTTTGTCAAGTGCTAGACAGCTGATGAAATACTTAACACGAAATGCAGATCCAACATCGGGTACTATGTAATGGCAGCTATTGTACCCACAATCCTCTGCGCTGCAGCAAGCACCCTATCCCATTTAACTCTGACCAACGTCTCCTGGAGGCCAAGCTAACGCGTTTTGAAAGTTTGACCTTTTTTGGGAAGCTGCTGCCAGCAAATCAAAGACAAACGTTTTTCACAAACCCGGAGCAGATTTCCAGAAGCAAGCATGTGAATCAGATTCTGAAACCAAGAGATGACATCTCTTACACAGAAAAACAGAAGTCATTGGGGCTGGGGCATTACAGGAAATGAAATGTCACAGGCTCTGCCGGAAAGAGGACTCGATTCCAGTCACCCACTGGCGCCAATTTACAAGCAGCCACCTGTTGCTGTTTCTGCCTCAGCATCTCCATCACACTGCCAACTGCATCTAACAAGTCCAAGTGCAGTTCCATCAACGCTCAGGAGCTAGGCACAAGGCAGGAGTGTGACGGAACACTCCCCACTTGCCTGGATGAGCGCAGCCCCAACAATGCTCAAGAAACTCGACACCAAGTACAGGGGCCAGCAGAAGGCATGGGCACTGCCAACAAGCTACTGCGGCAGTGTTTGGGATTTTTTTTTCCAATTCATTCATGGGATTAACTGTACAAGGAGAATGGAAAAAGACAGCAGAAGAGGAAGGCGAACTGAAACAGGGAAGGGGAAAAATGGAGGTGGGGGTGGGAGGAGAACCGAGGTGGGGAGAACAGGGCGATGGCACGTCAGGCAATAGGTCAGCGCTGGAGGCGAGGACAGCTTGCCTCCCGTTTGCCCACACAGTGCCCTCACTCACCCTCCCAGGCCCTCAGCCAGTCAGATACTGGCACTGCCGCATTGTCTCCCCTGATTTGTTCATGGCTGGGTTTCCTCATGTGAGCCCCAGAACCCACCATCTGTGGGTGACTGCATGCCCGTTCCAAACACAGCTCTCTCTCTCTCTCTCCACCGTCACCATCACCGAATCCCCCACCACCAGCATCCTCAGGGAGATTATCACTGGCCTGAAACTGAACTGATCACAGATCACCCACAACCAGGTGAGGTCCCAGGGAACTGGAGAATAGCCAGTGTTGTTCCTTTGTTTAAGAGCAGTAACTGGGAAAGTCAGGAGATTATAGGTCAGTGAGCCTTACATCAATGGTAGGGAAATTATTGGAGAAGATTTTTAGGGACAGGATTTACTTGCCGTTGGAGAAGAGTGCACTTATTAGGGCATTAGGCTTCATGCAGGGGAGGTCTTGTCTCACAAACTGGATTGAGTTTTTTGAGGAAGTGACGAAGGTGATCGATGAGGCGAAGGCAGTGGCTGTTATCTACATGGAGTTTACTGAAGCATTTGACAAGGTCTCTCTTAAGACCATAAGACACAGGAGCAGAAATTAGGCCATTCGGCCCATCGAGTCTGCTCTGCCATTCAATCATGGCTGATAAGTTCCTCAACCCCATTCTCCCGCTTTCTCCCTATAACTCTTGATCCCCTGGATAATCAAAACCTATCTATCTCAGTCTTAAATGTACTCAATGACATGGCCTCCACAGCTTTCTGTGGCAGTGAATTCCACGCTCTGGCTGAAGAAGTTTATCTCCGCTCTAATAGGTCTTCCCTTTACTCTAAGGCTTCATGATTCATATCCCGCTATTCTCTACCTGTTCATGTGTCTGTCAGAAATGCCTCCATTTCTGTTTCTCCCACCTCTCCTGGCAGCACGTTCCAAGTACCTACCACCCTCTGTGTAAAAGGCCTGCCTCACACATCTCCTTTAAACTTTCCCCTCGCACCTTAAGCCCATGCCCCCTTGGTATTTGACATTACCACCCTGGGAAAGAGACATGAACACCCTATCTATGTCTCATAATTTTACATATTTCTTATCAGGTCGCCCCTCAGCCTTCGACATTCCAGCACAAACAACCCAAGTTTGTCCAGTCTCGGGCAACATCCTGGTTCACCTCTTCTGCACTCCTGACTATAGTGTGGCAACCAGAACCGCACACACATTCCAAATGTGGCCCAATTAAATCTTACACAATTATTTACCAAATTTTATACTCACTGCCCCGACCGATGAAGGCAAACATGCCATACACCTTCTTTACCACCTTATCCACTTGTGTTGCCACTTTCAGGGCGCTATGGGCTTGGACCTCGTGATCCCTCTGTCCATCAATGCTCCTCAGGGTCAAGCCATTTACAGTGTGCTTTCCTCTTGGATTTGACTTCCCAAAATGCATAACCTGACACTTGACTGGATTAAACTCCATCTGCCATTTCTCTACCCAACTCTCCAGCTGATCCTGGTGCATC